TTCTAGGATTTCCTTCGTTCCCAGCAACCCCATAACTTTAGCGCGCCCAACTCCAGAACTCTGGCCTTCCCCATTTCTGCTAACATTTTCTTTCTGATTCGCAATGCACCAGAGTCATAACTTATGCTCCTTATTTCTATCCTTTCAGCAATGCACTGACTCTGATTCTTTTTCCTCTTATTATTTTTATCATCACTTCTATTTTCATTAATCAAAAACACCAAAAATACTTTATATTCATACACTTTGCTTTATTTATTTTATAACAAAACGACTAAAAATATTTTCTTAAGCAAATTTATTTCTTCTCTTAACCAAAACAAAAGAAATCTATTTTACATTAAAATTCTTGTACATTATTTCAATATGGTTGTAATAGATAATTAGGGCTTTAATTTCTTGCAATCCCCATTTATAAATTTGTATACCCCATCCCCCTAATGATTGTAATAGTGTAGAATATTTACTTTCCGCAATTTATCGCTTTCATATAAATGCTAGTAAAGTAGGATTTGTATGGGAAGATAAAAATCAATCTTAGAGAACACTAATCCAAGATAAACCAAGAATGAAATACAAACACTTGCACCCCTAGGGTAATTCCAATTGTTGCCTTATGAAAATGGTCATATTATGTATGTGAGACGTCTTAGCAAAAAATAACCAAAAAATACAAAATCATAGTCCCTCGATGACGCTTCGAATGTTGCCTTACAAATGATCTTAGTCCCTCAAGAGAAATGCTAAGATGTCTCACGATATTGCTATCATGACTATACGATGACCCACACCCGTCCCTTTACATCCAAAGATAAAGCTTCTTACCAATCAATGGTAAGATGGAAACATCTAAAATAAGAGGAAAAGAACTAAGACTTTTGCGTAGGTAGAAACATTCTTAGTTGCTTGCTCATATTCAAATACAAACATCTTTTCAAATTCACCTACACTTTCCATGAAATATTTTCAAAAGTCCAACACTTTGTATACATTATTATAGAGACGGAAATTATTACAAAATTTGCCTAAACGAGGGTGCTTTTCAAAAATACTTTCAAAACCCACCACAAAGCACACTTTCAAACAAAAGCAATGATCTAGCAAGCAACTAAGAGCCTATAGATAACTATGGATGAAAAGGGTGCTAACACCTTCCCTTTTCTTTTCAAAGGTCTTTCATGTTCTTTTCACCCTTTCCTTTATTTGGATAAAAGAAAAGTCGGTGGCGACTCTTTCTATCCGCAACAATTGCGATCAAACGCAAAATATCCCAAGTCAGTTCTCCCATCGTGTTACAGTATCATTGTGTGAAAAAATGTTTTTTTTGTGAGAAAGCGACTACGAGCTATCTACATGCTCAAAAGGGTATTTGCTTTTTTCCTCCTTTCCTTTAGATAGTGCTATCCTACTGTGATACGGTGGGAGAACTGACTTGAGGGTTTTGTGTTTTGTCACAAATGTTGCGGTTAGCAAGAGTCGCCACTGACTTTTCTTTTATCCAAAAGGAAAGGTGAAAAAGCACAGGAAAGACCTTTGAGATGTTTTCTTGAGTTCGGGGGGTAGATTATGAAAAGGGAAGGTATTAGCACCCTTTTCATCCATGGTTTTCCATGGGCTCTTAGTTACTTTTTAGATCACTTTCTTTTGTTTTGAAATTTTACTTTGTGTGGTTTTTGAAAGTATTTTATAACAGAGGCCATTGTTTAGGCAATCTTTGTAATGATTCTCGTTCGTAAGAATGTATACAGAGATGTTTATCTTTTGAAAATGTTTTCAATATTTGTAAGATGTTTTTGAAATGTGTGTGTTTTATTTTGAAAATAGCAAGGATAGTTGTTTGGAAAAAGTTACGAGTTTTAGAAGTTTTACAAAAATGTTGTCAGTAACAGTGGTAACCAGTTACCTAGTTATAGTAACCAGTTACCGCAAGACAGTAACCTTTTCCTTTTCAAAATTCTTCGTGGTAACTGGCCACCCAATTATGGTAACTGGTTACCGGAGGACAGTAGTTATTCGTATTTCAGTCTTTGATATGGTAACCGATTATCATATTTGGGTAACCAGTTATCATGCGATAATAGGACAAAATTCTGCAGTTTTCATGTTACGATCATCCCATGTTTCACCACCCAAATTTCATAATTTTAACATCCATTTAAGCATGCTAATTACTCACCAACATTGTATACTAATACCAACCAATTCGTGTCATCAAATTTCATCACAAACACAACAAAATCACCAAAAATCCATCAATGAGGGAAAACCCCCAAAAATAACCAAATCAATAGAATTCAAAACACACAAAATCAAGCATCCTAAATCCTACCATACTCTATCATTAGGCAACCTTTTATAGAGTTAGAATCCCATCTTACCTGATATTCTTGGTTGGTTCTTGATCTCTACGGTGAATCCTTGCCCTAGCTTCCTAGCGCTTCTCTTTCTTCTACCTTATATGCTTCTATTCTTATTTCACGTACTGACTCTTATTTTCCTTCTCTCATTCTAATATAGTATAATAATAATAAAACTAAACCAATAATAATTATTTAGTTATTATTATAAAATAATAATAATTATCCTAAAAATATAGTAATAAAATAATAATAATCTATATTATTTCGCACACCCCTACATTTCTACACATTAGCCGAACACCCACACACCCTTAACTTCTATAATTCTAAGGCATTTAGTCTCCAATAAAGCATCACACCACGTCATAAGATCTATCATCTCATAAATTTTGTCGCATCATCATATTATTTAATTAAAATAATTCTAATTAAATAGGGGTGTTAAACCTTCAATGACCCGTATTGTCGTCACCAAGGAAACTAACTCTTGTTCTCTTGGTCGGGTCGAGGTACCACGATGGTAGCAGAAAAGATGAAAAAACAAGTTGGTGGAAGGTTTTCTCATCAAATATTCACACCAGTATTGGTACGCAAATACCCAAGGTTGAGGAGAGATATTTGTAAGGAGGGATAGTGAGACCACCATACTCGCTACATATTTTATCTTCCTCAATAGGGGTGGGTGAATCCTAATGTGATGGTTCCACCATTTCAAGAAAAGCTTTATCCGGGATACCTTCCTTGGTAAAAACATTCATGGTGAAAGAGTATATAGGGCATTCCCATGGAAATGACGAATTCTTCTAGTTTCCTTTCACATTTTACTGAGATGTCTTGGCCATATTTCGTTAACTTTCTCGAATACAGGTAGACAAAATGTCAAAAGATAAAAATATAACCGCTCAAGAAGAAGGAGAAAAGGAAAATCCAAGTTAAAATGCCTCTAGTTATTCCTAGACTCGTGTTCTGACAATATGAAAGAAAAGGTGTCTTATCAATAATCCCATCTCTCATAAGTAACACTCAGGTATTTGAAGTCCCAAGAATGCTAATAATGACTTCCTGAAGAGATGTTTGACGTTCTAAACAATAAAAGCATGGAGTAAGGATGATTAGTTGCCGAGAGTTAAATTCTCCAAACCCCCACCTTGATACTCAAGCATAAGGGTTTTGAGACAACTGTTATGAGTCGATTATACTTATCTTTGACCGACCACCTTGAGATAGCCTGTTGTACCCCAAAATTTACCCTCTCATGTTTTCCAAGATCTTCCCTTGCATGTGTCTTCCCTTGCATGTGTCATACCCCAAATTTGTCTGCCTTAGTGCTACCGTCAAATCTATTTTCGAACTTGAGTTTTACAAATATAAATTTCTTTAATTTAATTATATTAACATTCTGAGGTTTTTAATAAAAATTCGCTTTCAAGTCTGTTTGAAAATATAATAATTATTTGTAAAAATAACAAATGATTGTTTGTTGTCATATACTTTCAATTGGCTTTTTATTTTCAAATAAGTAACATAGAACAATTAGTAAGAGAGAAAGACTAGCAAGCAGAAGGTCACGGGTTTGAATCTCACTTGGTGCACTTTGGATAATTTTGTTGTTTATTGTTACTAACTTTATTTTCATTTTCTAAAAAATCATATTTTTTATTATTAAATTATTATTTTCGTATTTATTTATTTATTATATTTTAAAAATATTATTTTTGATTAAAATATTTATTTTATTTAAAATATAGTCAAAATACTTTATAAATAAATAAAATCTAATTTGGACTATGGGTATTGGATAATTTCACTTTTTGGGGTGTCTTTAATCTAATTTCTAATCTATAAATAGGTATCCTCATTGTCCTAATTTTAGGGGGGAGAAACATCCAACAATAATCACAATTCATATTTTTCTATACAACTTTTCTGGTTTTATTTTCGGGTTTTGTCTTTAACAGACACTTAATCCTGTTTTTGTCTTGAACAGACGATTACAGACAATCACACACGAAGTCCATGATTTTACACACACTTTCTTTGCAAATACTATTGATGATTTTTTTTGCCGAGGGTTCAAATATGAGACCCCTAGTATTTGTAATTTTTTTAAATTTTAACTTATTGGATGGTTGTTTTCATTATCCCTTTATGCTAACATTTTTTTCGTGAAGCCAATTCATATACGCTAATGACACTTTCATTCATGTAACGTTTAACCAAAGGCCTTCCTTTTCAGTCAAAAGCTTATTTGTTTTTTTTTTATATTGCACTACTAACTTACAGCTTTTTTTTACCAGCATCTTTTAGATCTAAATCCCTATTTTCACAAAAAGCCAAAAAAAAAGAGCTTCATACATATTTTTTTAATACTGGGCATACTTTCCTTCACTTTTCAAGTTTGCTTACATATTTTCTACACAACAAAGTCAAACCAGCCACGAACCACTTGCAAAATTCCAGCCAGAAACCTGTAGCAACACTTAACCTTGCTGCATTACAAAGATATAAAAGAAAACTATAGAAAATTCTTTCTATATGATAACAACAATATTTTGTTTTTTCTTCTTTTTTATGATAGGGAAATAACTAAATGGAGTGGATATAAATCTGCAAATCAAAACAAATCTGCAAACAACAACGTCAATTCTCCGACGAGTCCAACAACCGCTTACGTATCTCCGTAAGCCATAACTTTTTTTCTGTGGATATGTGGGTATCGATTATTATGCTGCAGGTAAAATTGGACAATGCAGGTATTGTACTATTCCAACCGAAAGAAGAAAAGAAGAACAAAGAGGAATAGAAGCGATCCGACCTCGCACCCCTCTGATCGACAGAGAGCGTCACACAACTCGCCGGAAACGCATCAACACCGTCGATAATTCTCCGCAACAAACACCCTCCGATTGTGTATCTGCTCCGACGAACCAACCACCAGCCGTAGCCCGTCACGCTATTTCTGGCCTGTCGTGATCCTCCGTGTAACACATCCCTCCGGCTTTCGATTTTGTTGCTTCTCAAACAAACAGCAAACAACGTCAGTATCCTCTGCATGCCTCTTACCTCAACACCACTGAAACCCATATGCTCCATTCATCCTCAAACTCCTTGCGGATACTCCCTCCATCACACTCAGACGCCACTTTCGCCCAGCAGTACAAACATGCCACCTCTTCGAGTCCACTGACGATTTAATCGCTAGCCACTATGTTTCTACAGAGGAGGTTTAGTTTTTTTTCTATTTCTTTTTTCATTATTCAACAAATCTACCACTGATGTCATTATTGTAACTATTTTTATATTTATTTTGTATTTTCTTATTATGCTGATTATTGGGCTGATGCACAATTAGGATATAGTGTTAAGGTTGGGCCTTGGGCCAGATTTTAAGTCTCTCATATTTACACCATAATACTAGTTTAACACCTCGTTCTTTGTTTGAGTAAAAACTATGCATATTTCTAGTTAGTTTTAACTAATTTAATTAATTTAATAGTCAATTTATTTTATTTTAATTATTATTTAAAAATGATAAAAAGTTTAAGATATAAAAAGGATATATATAATTTTGTTTATTTGATAAATTAGGTTAATTAGATTAATTTACCTATACATAATCAAACTTTTCGCAGTCAAAATTAATTTAATATTATTCAAAATCAAACAATTAAAAGCCATGTAATCCCAAATATTCCACGTGAGGAGGAGACTATAATAGGCTCCCCCGCTCTACGTCTTAATCAAATCAAATATTTCACCCGCAAGCAACACGTGGCCAATATCTGGCCACGTGATGAGGAAGACTGTATCAGACTTCCTCCGCATCCTTCATAACAAGAAGCACATAATCAATATTTGACCATGTGGTGAGGAGACTATATCCGACTCCCCGCCCTACGTCTTAAGGCAGCTAACCAATAATTCAAACATTTTTCTACTAACCTAACAAAAACTCAAGATTATTTCCGAAAAAGGATTAAGGCGAATTATTTTCAAACTTAACTACGAACTACATCTACAATCACTCAACTTACAACCTAGACAAGGTTCAAGGTTAATTCGAAAGCAATTTTACACAATCCTATAAAAAACACCAACCAATTACGAACTACAATTAGGACTCTGATTCCTCTTAAGAGGATATGTAGGCACGCGATCTAAAATCGTGGTGAGTCTTGCTAATTAAAACTTAAAACCCTGTTTACCCCAAACATAAACCTAGGGCTAATATCCTTGTGAACAAGGTGGATGAAAGGTGCCTAACACCTCCCTTTCGTCTAAATAAGTCCGAAACCTAGAATCTCTGTCTACGAATTAGGGTTCTCTGTTAGATTCCCTTCCCTAGGATAAAAACTAATAGTGGCGACTCTGATCAAAAAACCAGTTGCTACAACATGGTTGGTTACAAACACTTGCTTAAAGAACATGAAATGTTTTTTGAAGATGGTAAAGTGTCTTTCGATTGGCACCTTAATTAGGTACTTCAATTGGGGCATATAAAATCCTTCGATGCAAGCTTGGCTCACAAGTCTTTGATTGGGCATCTGAAATCCTTCGATCAAGCTTTGGTCCACTAGCTTCGATTGAGCGTTGGGTCCCCTTCGAGCAAGCTTTGGTCCACGGGTTTCATTTGGGCATATGGCCTCCTACAGGCTTGCTTCGATTCACAAGCAGTGACCTCATATACGCTTGCTTCGATTGAGAAATGGCCTCTTGCAGGTTGGTTTGGACTCACTAGGCAGAGGCATCTTCATGATTGCCTTCAGCGTACTAGATAAATACTCCCTCTGTGCGTGCCTTCAGTGCACTAGGCAAATACTCCCTTTGTGCGTGCCTTCAGCACACAAGGTAAAGGCTCCCTCTTCAATTTGTGTTCGATTCATAAGGCCAAGACCCTTTCAACTGGCCTTAGATTCACAGAACAATAGTCTTCCTCATGCTAACATCCACAATGTATTGACTTCCTTTGTGCTAGATTTGACTGGGCAGTGGTTCCCTTCGAAACTGCTTGCATCGAATCTATCTCTGAACCCTTCAGCACATGATTTCCATATTATGAGCACACATTGGTGGCCCATTCAAAGAATGCACAAGGCATACATGTGGGCTATTCGAAAGACACACGAAAGGGCCATTCAAAGGATATACATGTGGTCCATTCGAAGGAGACACATAATTATTAAAAATAAGTTTGTCTTATGAAGAGTCTTGGTCCAAGTTGCTTGCTGGCCAAAAATCCAACATGTTGTTAAGTTCAAGCCTTCTGCACAATTTCATTCTAAGGAGGTAACAAGAGAAGTTTCGACTGGCCAGAAAGGAGTTTTTGTTTGGGTTAATTGAAAAGTTTCAGCTCAAGCTACCAAGGCAAATAGAGGCTCAATCGAACAAGCCCCAATGATAAAGATTGGAGCCATTCGAAGGAGGAAACTCTGGGCAAATCGAAGAGCAAGGATTGAGGGTATTCGAAGGAGTCAAACATGTCCAGGTTCATCCTAAAGCTCAAAGGGGTAGGAATTTATCAAAAAAGGCAATCCCTTTATGTGTCTAATTTTGCCTTCAAAGCTTAGTTAATTGTTGTCCCTTGCCATTTCTATGTTATGACCCTCTCTCCACCTCCTATAAATACACAACACTTCTACAAGCCAATGGGACGACACTACACGCACACGCATACGCTACCTCAGAAAGAATACCAAAATTCTAAAAATCTCATAGTTCGAAACTAGTTTTGCAGGTACCCTCAGTCCAAACGAATACTAGATTTGTACTCCTGAGACTCCCAAGAGTCTACTCCAAGCCAATCCACACCCAGAAGTTCCAAATTGAAGCATCCCATCTTTGGTAAATTTTCAAATTCATATCTATGTTTTCATGATGTATTAATGTTTTCCATTGTCTGATTCATGCTCAGGGTATCATATAGCACAACTTTCACATGAAACATGCAAGGATAGAGGGCACGATCTGTGTTCTTCATCGAATCTCAAAAACCTTGGGATTTTAGGGCAAACAAACCTAGACTCGAACTCAAGGGGGTCGAATTAAGGGAGGTAAAATTAAGGAAAAGGACCTGGGTTCGACACCCAGGTCATGCTTTTGTTTTTGTTAACATTTTTCTTGCAGATTCAGTGCCTTCCTCCACATGCAATCCATCAGACACCTCCAACAATATCCTATGCTGGATAGAAGGCTACATCCTTCCTTGGATCGAAGGATAACATCCTTCACTGGATCGAAGGTCATCCTTCACTGGATCAAAGGCCACCCTTCATTTGATCGAAGGCCACCCTTCATTGGATCGAAAGTCATCTTTTCTTTGGATCGAAAGACTTTTTCTTCTTGTATTTTTATTTTTGTTACTCATTTCTTTTAGTAGTTTCCCTCTTTAAATCAACAACTAAATATTAAAAAATCATCATAAAAATTAGGATTAGATTTTATTAATTAAATTAATTTTTGAAATAATTAATTAATTAATTTTAACATCTTCTCAAAAATTAAAATAAATTATAATTTAGGTTTAATTTCATTTTTAATTTATGTTATTTTCATAAAATTCAAAAATAAAATAAAAGGATTTTTTATATCTTAGGATATTTTAGACGTCTTTTGAAATTCGCACGTTATTATTCTTTCGCACCTCCTTTTATTATTGTAACTGTATATTGGGATGTAATAGATAATTAGTAGGACCTTTACTACTTTTATTTATTTTTCCCTCCATTTTTTGGAATTGTAATAATCCCCCTCCCTGAAGCCTTGTAATAGCTAGGTGTGATACGGTGGGAGAACTGACTTGAGGTTTTGCGTTTGTATTCGCAAATGTTTCGGTTTAGCAAGAGTCGCCACCGACTTTTTATTTTATCCTAAGGAAAGGTCAAAAAGCACAGGAAAGACCTTTGAGATGTTTTCTTGGGTTCGGGGAGTAGATTATAGAAAGGGGAGGTATTAGCACCCTTTCTATCCATGGTTATCCATGGGCTCTTAGTTACTTGTTTAGATCACTTGCTTTGCTTTTCAATTGTTTGAAATGGTGCTTTTCAATTGTTTGAAATGGTGCTTTGTGTGTGGTTTAGAAAGATGTTTTGTAAAGAGGCCATCATTGTGGCAACCTTTGTAATTATTCTTGTTTGAATGTATACAAAGGTGTTTTTGTCTTTTTGAAAAGATATTTCAATGTTTGAAAGTTGGATTTTGAAATTGTGTTGTGAAGTGTGTTTGAAAATAGCAAGGATGTTTTGAAAGCTTTTGATCAAGTAACTAAGAGCTATCTACCCTATTTTACTCAAATATCTTTCTTATGTTTTTAACCCTTTTAACAGTGTTGTTTCACCATTGTATTTGGTGAACAACCTTGTGTTAGGATGTTAAGCGAGACAGGCGCGAGTCATCGTGTAGACCATGATAGCAATTGTGTCAAGTATCTTTGGCAATTTTCTTGAGGGACTTGATCATTTTTGTTTAGGTAACCAAGATAGCGTCATCGAGGGACTATGATCTTTTGTTTTATTTTTGTTTTTCCAAAGTTCTTAACATGCATACCATGGCCTATTTTTGAAGGCAACAAGTGGATTGTAACCCTAGGAGTGCAAGTGTGCATTGTGTTTGTTTTTCATGCATTTTGTCTTTGATTAGGTCAAACTATTTGTTAATTTGATTTTGGCATACAAACCCTAATTCTCTAATCATGGCATAATTGAAAGCGTTTAAGTGCGAGAATTTAAATTCTAAGCTATTACAACATGATTATGGGGATGGGGGTACAATTTTGAATAGGGGGTATTTGACAAGAAATATAAACCCTAGTACTATTACATCCAAATTGAATTATAATGCATAAATATTTAAATGTACAATATTTAAATAAACAAAATAAATAAATATTAAGTAAAATGTATTATGCTAAAAGAAGTTTTTATTTGTTTATGTATGTAAAGTATTTTTAATGTAAAAGAGTATAAAGAAATTAAAAAAAAAGGTTTTATTTGTTAAAGGGGTAAACCCTAATTTCTTTAAGAAAATAACATATTATATTATTTATATACAAGAAATATATTAATATGTACAAAATAAAATATATTGGAAAAAAAAGT